ATATATATATATATATACCTATATATATAAAATATTAATCCATTATTCGAATCCGTAACATTTTGTTTGAAAATCGCAAAAGTCAATCCTCACTTCACTCGACATATCGCTCCCATGACAAACATAGACTGCACGGTGCTCCACGTCCCGCTATACAATCATTGTCTTCTCTCTGTGTCTCTCTCTTTCTCGCTCTCTCACTTTTTTTTCCCCCGCTCTCATTCTGTTTCTCTCTCTTTCTGTCTCTCTCTCTCTCTCTCTCTCACGCGCATGCTCTCTCTCTCTCTCTTTTGCGCGCACGCTCGCTCTCTCTCTCTCTCTCTCTCTCTTGCTGTCTTCTCTCCCTCCCTCTCTCTCTCTCCTTCTCTCTCTCTCTCTCACCATCCCGCTACAGGATCGTTATCTTCTCTCTCTGCTCGACAGTCAGCGACACGGGCAACCGCATTGACCGACCGGGTAGAGAGAGCTCCTGAGAGAGAGGGAGGACGCACGAGCAGACACGCCGGCGCAGCTGGAGGGACTCGTGGCGAGGCAGGAGGTTGGGAGGACGAGGGAGGAGGCAGACTACTACAGACGCCTCCACGAAACGCCTGCTACAGAAAGGTGGAGCCATTCAGGTGAAGAAGAGGACGGAGAACGCCGGAGCAACCCTGATCGTCAGGGACCCGCTAGTCAAGTTTCCAGCGGTGCAAGCGGAAAGATCTCACAGCTGGGTCAGGTTCTTTTTTTTTTTATGCCCGTTGACAGAAACATAATCACTCATAAAACATTACCCTGTTCACTTTTATTGTTAAATTGCCTGCCCATGTATACATTCTTATTTTACTATATTGTTCGGATGCTGGAACATACACTCGTGACGCCATACATAGCCATAGCACAGCAATTGAATGCTCAGCGAACACTATATCAAATCGTCCAGGTTTTTTGGCATTTCTTAACTAGTTGAAAAACAATCTTATCAGGCTAAGAATTTGCAACGATACGTTTAGTCCCGTTAGCTTCTACTTTTAATCTCTAAAAAATTGGCCAACAAACATTTTTACAAATTTTACCATAGAAAAATTCGTGCACGTAGTCCAATTTAACATTACCTTTTTCTCATAGACTGTTGACAGACACATTCGTAGTTGTTAGGAGTTGCCCTGCCACACGATGTGTAGAGGTACGCGTCTACCGAGAAAAAGCTTTTCATGTTTTAGGGCTAAATGTCTTCCATGCCTGCTCTTCCTTCATCGCGTGCTTGCCTTCTTCTCCCAGCCTGCAGTTCTTCTTTCGTGCCTGCCTTTTCTTACTCGTATGTCTGCCTTCCTTTCATGTATTTTCCTCCTCTCAGTGCGCTGCCTTCCTTTCCTACCATGCAGGCAGCAGCCTGGATGCGTAGAGCTATAGAGCGGAGTTGCATTGCTTGCGATCGCCATGCACGACGCGGTCTCCGAGCATTGAGCCGACTCGCCCCGCAGCAGATACGCCGGCTTGCTAGGACACCAGCAACAGCAAGCAGAAGATTGGTCACATCATGGAGCATTCAGCAGGAGCAACCGATCCTCCATCAGCATCCTTCCTCCTCTCTCTGCATCCCTCATCCTTCCTCCTCTTCCTCCAGCATCCCTCCTCCTCCCTCTTCCTCCAGCATCCTTCCTCCTCGTCCCTAAGTTTCCCTCCTCTCTCTCCACACCTTCGTCCCTCCTTCTCCTCCCTCCTCTCTCCGCACCCTCCTCCCTCCTCCTCCCTCCTCTCTCCGCACCCTCCTCTCTCCTCCTCCCTCCTCTCTCCACACCCTCCTCCCTCCTTCTCCTCTCTCTTCTCTCCACACCCTCCCTCTTCT